AGAGAGAGAGAGAGAGAGAGAGAGCTGGAGGAGGGAGAGAAGATGAAGCCCTCCTCGCTATCTCACCTGCAGGTAGCTGTCACTGAACTGACTTCATCCGTTGCTGTGGAGCCCAGCTATGGAGCCAGGTAAGCTCGCCGACTGCAGGTATGGCCTACGCCACTCCCTATCTCCTCGAACCTCTCCTCCTTACTCCGCTACTCAGCGCAGCATGGCGCAGCCTCCAACCAGCAGCATGTCGCTCATAACTGAGCGACTCGAACTGTGTGTGGCCCAGCCTTTGCCCAGCTATTTGTAGCGCTGGGCGGCCGGGCCTACCTGGTGCTGTGTGGGCTAAGACGGCCCAGGTGGTCTGGGTCCCTACCGGACGTCCAGACCTTGCTGCTGCTGCAGCATGGCGCAGAAATGCGCCTGGCCTAAAAACGGCCTTCTACCGGTGTACCCAGTCCCAAGGTCCGGCCTTGGGGCTGCAAGTCCGAAACGGCACCTGAACAGACAAAAATAAGACATCACACACACACCAAAAAAACGGTAAGTAAAACTACAGCCTATCTACCTAGTGTGCTGTCTGGGGCCTGGAGGGCCGTTGTGGGCCTCCATGGCGCGTGCTGGATGGTACGCGGCCTGGGGGGCCCTCAACAACCGTCGGGCCCCTCAAATGGGGCCCGTGTGCAAGCGCAACATGCAACAAAAGTGAGCTCAGCCTCTGCTGCCTCTGGGCCTGACTGGGCGAGCATCCAGTAGCTTCCAGTCGGGCCTCAATGCCTGTGTGCAGGCCCAGTTGCAGTTACGAGCCTGGTGTTGCATACTGTAACGGTGCAGACCAGAACAAGAACCGACCTTTCAATACAAAGTACAAGATAGCGTAGCGGAAGACTTAGATACCAATGATCCGAACAATCAATATTGCAATGCAGCCCTGAACATACATCATCATCATCGTTCCATGGTGTGAAAGGGGTCTGGCGCTTTACACAGGAAGACTGCGCCAGCCCCAACCATACACAAACGAAGAAGAAGGGGGTTAGACGAAGAGGAGGGGAAGATGGGAATGTCGTCAACACTAAGTCTTGGGCACAGGCCCAAATAGTCCCTCGTCAAAATGTCTAAATCCCGAATGTCGAGTCTGGATCCAATGTCGTCAAGTCTAAAGTCACAACTCTCTCTCTCTGTCGTAGTCTGCTGATCCTGAGAAGTCAGGTGGTGAGAGGGKGAGAAGAGATGGTGGACTTAGAAGAGGGAGAAGAAGAACTCTCTCTCTCTCTGTGTCCAGTACTAACCTAGTAACCTGTGAAGTTGGCGCCTTGATGCAGGTACCTCGAAGATGGAGCTGGAGCTATGGCGCCACAGGTAAGTACCGCTGGCCTCTGCCAGCCATCTCTCTCCAACGCTACCACTACCAGCTATTAGCGCCCTGCGCTGAAGACTTCTACTACAGCTATGAGCGCCCAACGCTGAAGACTACTCCTAGCACTAACTACTACTGCCAGTGCTCCTCCTGAGTGTTGTGGCTGAATCCTGAAGACTACTCGTGCCTACTGTCCAACTACCTACCTGGGAAGTGCATGGGAAACCCCTATGTACTACTCGGCCTGGACTGGCTGCATGCGAGGCAGCAGTCCAGGAGGCTGCTGTTGCCAATGCCAAAGGCAGTCAGCGGCTGCCGCTACAGCTCCTCCTCAAGGCACTCGTGGGAACAGGCTAAAGATAGCCTGTTCCGAAAACCCTGTTTTTGTGCCTGAGTCTTAGGGTCGGTCGAAACAATGAGGGCCTGAAAATGGCCCTCCGTTTCAGGCTGAAAAGCCTCTGGGCCTGAAAGGCCCAGAAATAGGCTGAAAACGAAATAGGGCATGCAGGCCCTCGTTTTCAGTTTCAAGCTGAAACGACCGGGGCCTGTAAGCCCTGTTTTCTAGGCTTTTAGGCTGAAAGTGCGGGACAGGCCCTGCAGGGCCCGTGTGGCTACGCAGTATGCCACAACCCCCCCTCCTTAAAAGACCGAGCTTACCTGCGAGGGCGAAGCTATCTGTCTGAGGGAGGGACCACAGTCCGGGTGGGAGGGGCCGGTTGTGAAGCTTCCTGAGCTAACCTTTGCTTCTCATAATGTGCGTAGATCGGCGGTGCGGATGCTTTCAAATCTGCTCCTGAAATCCACCGAGTGTCGTCGCGATCGCATGCTTTGAATGTAACTTTGTACTGTCGCGGCTTGCTGCCGTACTTGCGATCGGTGATGACGCGGTCAACTTCCTGATGACCATCCATAGAAGGAGGGTCCTGCGATCGTCGGCCCCGAAAGTTGTCCCTCTTAGCTGGCATGTATGTTGCCAGCTTTGAGGCGTGAAAGACTGGATGGACCGTCAGATGCGGGGGAATGTTGATCACAAATGAAGGGCCATCGGGCTCATCGCCCGCGGCTGATGTTACGGGCCATGGTCCAAACCACTTGGGAAGCAGTTTGCGTGAGACATCCTGTTCCAGTGCAAACTCTTCCGCGAAAACCCAAACCAGGTCTCCGGCGCGGATGGGACATGGCACGCGATGTCTGTTGGCTTGCTGCTGCATGCGGACTTGAGCCTTTTGCATATTCGCGTGGGCTTGAGCCAGCAATTCCCTGTACTTCCGGACGAAAGCGGGAGAGCAAGCGGCATCGATGTCGGCTGGTCGTGGGAGGACAAGGTCGGCGAAGATACGGCCTTTTCGTCCATCGTGGTGCAACTCGAATGGAGTCACGCCGATCGTCGGGTGCACCGAAGTGTTGTAGGCGAACTCGATGTCGGGGAGGCGGTCAATCCAATCTTTCTGGTCCGGACGGATAAGCGTACGAAGCATCATTTAAGCGGTTTGATGTGCCCGCTCCGTCTGCCCGTCTGTCTGTGGATGCCAAGCCGATCTTGGCTTCATCTTCGTGCCGGACTCCTGCATGAGTGCAGTCCAAAATGYCGACATGAAGCGAGTGTCGCGGTCGCGGACTATGTCTTCCGGTACACCATGGCCGCAAATCCAGCCGGTGTGCAGGAGGCATGCCAGCTCGGGAGCCGCGGAGTAGTACTTGCAAGGGAGAAAACGCGCGTACTTACTCAATAGGTCCACAATCGTGAGGATGCCGTCGTGTGCGAGGCGGTTGCGGGGGAATGGTCCGGTGACATCCATGGCAATGGAGAGACCAGGTTCCTGTGGGATCGGCATCGGGCGCAGCTCACCGTAGGGGTTGCGGTTGCGGGGTTTGCTTCGTCGGCAAACTTCGCATCAGTCGCAATACCTCGTGACATCGGTGATGAGGTCGGGCCATCGGAATCGCTGTCGAAGCCGTGCAATAGTGCGGTTGACTCCGAAATGCCCGGCGAGTCGCAAATCATGATACTCGCCGAGGAGGCGAGTCCGAAGACGGCGGTCACGTGGGACACATAGTAAGTCCTTGCCCCGCGAGTGCAGGAGCAAGTACCCATCGGCGATGCGATAGTGGCTGGCCGGCGGGTGATCCGACGATAGCTGCGCATATAGCGTGGCGAAATCTGGATCGGACTCATAGCCCCTGATGAAGTGTCGTTGGAGCTCCTCGTCGAATGCGAAGGCATGATGTGTCATAGCGCAAAGATCAGGTCTTTGCGAGAGTTCATCTGCTGCGCGATTTGAGAGGTCGGGAAGATGTTTCGGTGTGAAGTCAAATTGGTCGATGAAGTACATCCATCGTTCGATCGTGCTGCTCACTGTATCCTGCGTCTTGTAGTAGGTCAATGGATTGTTGTCCGTGACCCATGTGAACCTACGACGCCCAAGGAGGAAGTGCCGCCATCGCTTGAGAGCCATGACGAATGCGAGCAGCTCCTTCTTCCTTGCATCATCAAGCGAGTTGATGGGAGGCACTTTGTGGCTGAAATATTCCACAGGGTGCCAGTCGTCGTCGCCGTGCTGTTCCAAGACTACCCCAATGCCATAGCCGGAAGCGTTCGTAGTCACTTTCGTCGACAGGGTGGGGTCATAGATGCTAAGGATGGGTGCCATGAGCATGACCATCTTGAGTGCTTGGAATGACCCGCGTGCGTCGTCATGGAATACGAATGGCACCTTCGGCGATTGTAATCTCGTCATAGGTGCAGCAATCCTTGAGTATTCGGTGATGAATCGCTGATAGAAGCCCGCCAATCCCATGAATGAACGAACGTCCGTGGTGTTGGTGGGATCGGGCCATACTCGTAGGGCCTCGATCTTGTCTGCAAGCGGATGGATGCCTTGCGGCATCACATAATGTCCCAAGTACTCCAGCTCCTGCCGCGCGAATTCCGAATTCGCACTTGTCGCGGTTGGCTTTGTACTTGGCTTGTCGTAGCCGCTCCAAAACGGTGCGCAGGTGTTCCACATGCTTGTCCAAACTCCGGCTGTACACCAGGATGTCGTCGAGGTAGATAAGTACGAATCGATCCAGCATGTGTCGGAACTCCGTTGTCATAGCCGCTTGGAAAGTGGCCGGGGCATTTGTAAGGTCAAATGGCATAACCAGCCATTTGAAATGCCCATATCGCGTCTTAAACACGGTGTTGTAGCGGTCGTCCTTGTGAATCTCGAGTTGGTGATATCTTAACTTGAGGTCAAGCTTGGAGAGGAGCTTGGCGCCGCCCAGTCGTTCGAGAAGGTTGTCGATGAGTGGGAGAGGGCCGGCGTTTCTGATCGTCTGCGCGTTGAGCTTGCGATAATCGATGCACAACCGCAAATCCTTGTTCTTCTTCCGGACGAAGAGAACAGGAGCAGCGTATGGCGATGAGCTAGGCCGAATCCAGCCTTTCTCYAGAAGRTCGTCGAGTTGTGCVCKRAGCACACTTAACTCTTCCTCGCTCATTCGGTAGATGCAACCGCGCGGAGGTACGGCCCCGTCCTCGAGGATGATCTCGTGGCGGATGGGCCGATCCGGTACTACTCCGTGCGGGCCTTCGAATACGTCGCCGTAGGCGTCGAGAAACTCAGTGATGCGTGAATCCGAAGAAGAGTCCGTCGATGAAGCGTCATGGGGCGGGAGGGCGTGGAAAAAACATACCCCCATCTCCTCGATGTCGTCTCCGATGATGGAAGCTCGCATGCTTGCGGCGGATACCACGTGACAGCTGACTGAAGGGTGAGGAGGAGCTACCGTTCATGGGACTAGTTCTCCGTTCCGATCATGAACGCGAACCGTGCGGCGGTAGAAGTTCACCGGGTGATCCTTCCTTCGCAGCCATGACATGCCCAAGATCATGTCGAATTTGGTGTCAAGAATGTCAAAGGACACCGCCTCACTTGCGTGAGAGGTAAAGTTCACTCGGACGTCATCAATGCACCGGTCGATTGACTTGTGCGTGTGACCGTTCGCCAACGTGACTTGCGTGGGTTGGGACTTCCTTCGGACTCGTGGGCCAAGGCCGACGCGTACCATGAAGTCCTGACTCATGTAGTTGCGAGATGCTCCGCAATCGATCAAAGCGTTGCAGGTCGCCTCTYCGATMTGAATGYGTACATATAGCAATGGTGCGTCGATGTCGTCGTACCRTTGMGTCTTGAACTCGCGGTCGATCTTCRCAATGTAGGCGTGAAGGTCGACAACCTCTACTCCGGCGTCCATCAACGGAGTCGGTACTGCAGTGTGCAAGTAATCCCGCAATTGTGCCTTGAGCACGTTGCAATGCGATTTCGACAATCGATCGGACCGGGGAAGGGGCATCCGTTGGAAGTCCGCAAATGTCAACGGGTCGAGCTCTTCAAGTCTTGACCATGACATTGAATCCCCGACAGTAGATGGCGGCGAAGCTGCCGAATCGGTTGCCGATGGTGATGAAACCGTGCATGTGGTAGATTGTTGCATGTGGAGCGGTTGGTCCAGCGGTGGGACCAAATGGACAACATAGTCCTCGTAAGCATACCGAGAACTTACGACATTCGCATCCTCCCCAGATGTGTAGGAGGCCACTAGCAAGGCGGCCGAATCTGGCGGAGTGGGAGGTGGAGTCGCCTCAGCTCCCACGAAACTCAGTTTCCCGAGTTAAGACGAGGCCGCACATCCTCCTTGGCCTAATCCTGGCAAAGGGAGGTCTTTTGCTTGGTGCTGTTGCACCAGTAACAACAGCCGTAACGGCCGCGGTACTTGTACTCGGCCTCGGTCAAGTTGAACTTGACCCATGGTGGTGCTGGTCGTCCGTTTTCGGCCTGCAATGCTGATTTCGCCTTCCCGTTTCCTCGGGACTTAATGTTGTTTCGCGGCTGGACAACAGCCACCTGATCTCCCTCACGTGACGCTTGGGTGGCTGCCGGGTCTTCCACAGTGTTGTCCGATTGGACTGCAGCGAACTGCTACTGTCGCGGACCAGTTCTCACCTTCTCCACATAGGTTGGCTGCCACGTTGACTTCTCGTGTGCAGCCGCCCTATTGGTCTTGATGATCTCCCTCACCTTGTTGATGATCTCTGCGAAAGTGTTGTACTGCTCGCGATCACCAAGTGCGAGGTTAAGAGCGGCGCATGACCTGTTGTAGAACTCACGGCGCAGATGCGGAAATGGCAAGTCCAGATCGGGCGTGCCCACGATCTTCTGCCAATCCGTGAGCTAGTCACGTGTCGGTGTGCTCCCTTGAGCCATCGTGAAGATGCGGTTGATGGCGAGTGTCGGGGTGTCGTCTACGATGAACCGCTTCTTCCATTCCTTTGTCATCTCCTCCCAAGAGACCTTCTTGTACAGGTCTGAAACCTGGACGCCGTGGATGGTTGCCATGTGGCTGAGCCAGATCTGACATCCTCCCTTGGTGTTGACGAACAGAGCGCTGATGAACAGATGGTCGGGGACCTCGTGAATCCCCAACTCCGTTGTAAATCCTTGCCACGAGACGATCGGGTCTTGATGTGTGTAGTCATCAAATTTCTCGATCCGGAACGTCGGCATCTTGTAGGGCCTCGCCGAGCTGTTGTTGTTGCTGTGGTCAGTCTGCTATTGCTGACTGATCTTGGTGTCCAGCACATCGAACGGCTGGCTTATGGTGGCCGGCGCTGCGAAGGCACTGATGTCTCCTAGCATTGCCACTACATGGTCAACGCGTTCCTCCAGTTGGCGGGCAGATGGTGCACTGCTGGATTCACCAGCCTCCGGTCTTGGTGGAACCTTTTCCAAGTCCTGTACACGGGCGTCAAGTGCCGGTGTGGCATCCTCGTGTTGAGCCTTATGGTTCCGCAGGGCCCGCTGGAGGTTCGCCAACTCGGACTGCAGGTGGTCACAAGTGTAAACCAGCCTGGTCATGAATTTGGCCATGAACTCCTTGTGCTGCTCCTCCGGTGTCGCGTCGTCGCCGTTGGACGGTTGAAAGTGCCAGAACTTGAGTCTTTCGATATTGGCGGCTTCATGCCGCTGCAGCAGATCTTGGGCCTCCTTACGGCGTGCCTGGGTATCTACGTCTGCTTCGGCCTGTAGTCGCTGCTTCTTAGCTGTTGCCGCTGCTTCAACTTGTAGGCGGGCAGCCTCGGCTGCCAGCTGGCGCTGTTCCTCAGCCTCGATTAATGCGAGCTGAGTCTGGAACCGCTGTTTGTAGTCGGCAAGAGACTCGTTGGCCAGTTGGTCTGGCATGCCCAGAGCTGCGCCCGTCATGGTGGCGGGGCATTGCTGACATGGCACATTGACGTGGCACTGTTGCTTACGTAGCACTGCTGACGTGGCACTGTCGCTGACATGGCACTGCTGACGTGGCACTGTGACCGACGTGGCACTGCTGATGTGGCACTATTGACGTGGCACTTTTGCTGATGTGGCACTGCTGACGTGGCACTGTTGCTGACGTGGCACTGTACCAACTAGGAAATGCATGCAAAGGGTGGGTGGGGAGGGAAAATGCAGGTAGGGAACCAACCCAACAATACTTTTCTCCCGGCCCTAGTCAACAGATTAAAAATAAATAAAAAAATAAAAGAGGACTACTTCCTTCTTTTTTTTGTGTATATCTGTCAATCTATTATGAGTGAGACATGTCAAAGGAGTACCATGAACGATTTCTAGCCTAGGTTTCGCAAAGTTTCGGGTTTCACAAAATGCGATCTTTGAAGAAATTTTTTTTTGCGAGATGCGATTTTCAGAAAAGAACTAAATCCCATTTCTGAGAATATGGCAACCTCCGAATATGCCTTTCGAAATGTTGGTAGGCTTCGCAAGATTTCGGTTTTCAAAAAAAATTACGACACAGAATGAAAATTCGATTTTCAAAAAAGAATAATTTCAGTTTCCGAGAATATGACCACTTCTATCGTTATCCGAATATGCCTAGAAAACGAAATACTATCATCAGAATTTTTCAGCTGTGTATGCGAAATATCAGAGAAACGAAATGCTACTATTGGGAATTTTCAGACAAAACGAAATGCGATTTATCAGAAATTTCCAGATATTTGTTACGTAAAAACGAAATACCAATATCAAAAATTTTCAGGTAAAACGAAATGCGGATATAAAAAATTTCAGATAGTTGTTGAGAGAATTTTTTTTTTTCCAGAGATTTGACGAAGTCCTTCTTGATTTACTGATGAGTAATCAATAGATCAAGCAAGATGGTTACTTGATTCAGCGGGTCCTCTGAATGAGAGGTCCGCTCGGATACCAAACTGTTGCATACTGTGACGGTGCAGACCAGAACAAGAACCGACCTCTCAATACAAAGTACAAGATAGCGTAGCGGAAGACTTAGATACCAATGACTTGAACAATCAATATTGCAATGCAGCCCCGAACATACATCATCATCATCGTTCCATGGTGTGAAAGGGGTCTGGCGTTTCACATAGAAGACTGCGCCAGCCCCAACCATACACAGACGAAGAAGAAGGGGGTTAGACGAAGAGGAGGGGAAGACGGGAATGTCGTCAACACCAAGTCTTCGGCACAGGCCCAAATAGTCCCTCGTCAAAATGTCTGAATCCCAAATGTCGAGTCAGGATCCAATGTCGTCAAGTCTCAAGTTACAACTCTCTCTCTCTCTGTCGTAGTCTACTGATCTTGAGAAGTCAGGTGGTGAGAGGGTGAGAAGAGATGGTGGACTTAGAAGAGGAAGAAGAAGAACTCTCTCTCTCTGTGTCCAGTACTAACCTGTCAAGTTGGCGCCTTGATGCAGGTACCTCGAAGATGGGGCAGGAGCTATGGCATCACAGGTAAGTACCGCTAGCCTCCGCCAGCCATCTCTCTCCAACGCTACCACTACCAGCTACTAGTGCCCTGCGCTGAAGACTACTACTACAACTATGAGCGCCCAGCGTTGAAGACTACTGCTAGCGCTAACTACTATTGCCAGCGCTCCTCCTGAGTGCTGCGGCTGAATCCTGAAGACTACTCGTGCCTACTGTCCAACTACCTACCTAGGAAGTGCATGGGAAACCCCTATGTACTACTCGGCCTGGACTGGCTGCATGCGAGGCAGCAGTCCAGGAGGCTGCTCTTTCCAATGCCAAAGGCAGTCACAGGCTGCCGCTGCAGCTCCTCCTCAAGGCAGTCGTGGGAACATGCTAAAGATAGCCTGTTCCGAAAACCCTCTTTTTGTGCCTGAGTGTTAGGGTCGGTCGAAACAATGAGGGCCTGAAAATGGCCCTCCATTTCAGGCTGAAAAGCCTCTGGGCCTGAAAGGCCCAGAAATAGGCTGAAAACGGAATAGGGCCTCTAGGCCCTCGTTTTCAGTTTCAGGCTGAAACGACCGGGGCATGTAAGCCCTATTTTCTAGGCTTTTAGGCTGAAAGTGCGGGACGGGCCCTACAGGGCCTGTGTGGGTACGCAGTATGCCAAACGTGGGCCCTTTACAGTTGGGCACATCCAGGCAGTCCACGGGCCTCTACATGTTCGCTGTGATCTCATTGGCTCACGGCCACAATGCTGCAATCTCATTGGTTCGTGGCTGTTGTATGATGTGTTGGCCTTTGAAAGCACACACCTAGGGCCTTAACTGTACGGGGCCCTGGGCTCAACTGCCCGTTGAGGCTGCAACTTCCGGAAAGAGCCTGGAGAGGCTCACGTTGCTTTGTAACCAACTAACATGCTGCAACTGCCTGATACCCACATATGGAAAAATGTCAAATCTTGGCCTTCACTTAGGGCGGTCACAGGACTTGCTGAGGGCCTCTGCCCAGAACATGTGCATGTCTGTTAAGGGCCCCGTGATGGCTCATTCCCCGCACGTATATGACCCCTTTAGGGTGATCACACTGGCATGTACCCAGGCCTTGGCACATATTGGCAAGCTCGCCTTCACTTAGGGCGGGCAAGGCGTTTTCCCAGCACTGCCGAGGGGTCAAGTCCTCGGAATATATTGTTTAAAAAAAAAAGAAACACGTTATTCGTTAAAATAGGACATTATACTGTGTCCTCTTTCTAACGAATTAATTTTTGGTTGCAGCCTAAGCAACATAGGCATGCCCATCCAGGGGTTAACCACATGCAGAAGCGTGCTGAGATCCATACTTGTGAAACTTCATAAATGAAATCCCAAATGCGGAAGTGTGTTGGGATCCTTACTTGTTGAACTTCAAAAACATGTTGCTGATCCTATGGGGAAGTGTGTTGGGATCTATACTAGTCAAACTTCATAAACGAACAACGATTGGCACGCCAAAGGGAACCCTGTGCGGAAATGTGCCGTGATCCTTACTTGTCAAAATTCAATTTCATAAATGTGATGAAAGATAGAGTAACTATATTGTGACACTGTCCTCTTTCTTATGAATTCATTTTTGATTGCAGTGTTTATACATGGGCATGCCCGCCCAGTCGCCCCAAATGCGAAAGTTTGCTGACATCCATAGTTGTTGAACTTTTGTAAACAAAATTAGCAATGTAATTACATTGAATTGGAGAGTATGATTATTTCGGTTATCCCAAAGGCACACATGCAGGTTCATCGTATCGCTGAAGACGGTTGTTTAGATGTATGATGAGATCCGGACTTGTTTTTAGAAGACTTGTGACCCTGGCAGAGTGGAACAGGAGTGTGCCGAGATCCATACTTGTTAAACTCAAAGCTTACGTATGTGATGAGCAAGGTGTCATGATTGAATTGTTGTTAGTTAACACATCAAATTTCGTTTACTACGTTATCCCTTAGTCCGAATCTCTTCAACATCCAAACAATCGTCTCGGGTGAGACGACAGGTGTGCTTGCATAAGTCCGAATCTCTTTAACATCCAAACAATCGTCTCGGGTGAGACGATGGGTGTGTTTGCATGAATTTCGCATATAGGCACGCTCATCATCTTGCCTAACATGAGGGCACTGAGATCCATACTTGTTTACAGTTGTGATGGGCAAGGTGTATTTCAATAACCACTTAATTTCGATATTCTATGTACAAGTGTATAACTTTAAATTGTGCTCCATCACGATGAACATCCGCATCTTCAATGGTCATGCAAAAAAGGTCTGGGCATCCACTGACCTATTTCACATAAGATGAGATTTCTCATTCATCCACCAACCATTTTCACAATCATGTTTACACTTCCGGTCAACAGAATTCGAAACATTGGAACACAATACTTCAACTTGAACAAAATTCGGAACATGGAACATTACGTTACATAGATCACAAAGCCCATACATGACGCAGGACATGCATTGAGCTTGCCGTAGATAACGAGAAGTCGCAACGATAAAAGAAAGCAATGCCACTGGAAGAAGGACAGTTGAATAATGTCTCGATTAACGAAATTTAACGATCAACGAATAGAACACCTAAAAAAAAAAATTTCGAAGTCAATCAAATCCATCAAAGATAATGATGTTCTAAGACACATGATGCTAATTGTCGTCTAAGAAGCGGAATATCTTTACAAGAGAACCGGAAAGGCGGTCGATTTCCACGTTGCAACAACGTCGCATACATCAACATGAACATACCACAGCTTGCTCCATCCACTTGTCTCGGAACTCCATCCACCACAACATTTCCCACTATGGACTTCCAATTCCTACCCGACTGCCTATGTGATGTTTGACGTTCCAAATACTGCACAATCAACCCGAAAACAGTAAGGTAAAAATTAGAATCAGCTACAATGCGAGGAAAAGAATCATAAATTTTGAGAACATCATCTTTCATGTTGATGGAAACGAGGATCCAGTGATCATCATCTTTGTGGACAGGAACGAAGACAATATCGTAATGAAGCAAATCTACGTTTTTAGCCCACCTCTGCACCCCACCGTGGCCGAACTCGTCAGACGACTCTCCAGATCCTCGCATTGATGCTCTCCGTACAGTTGTCCGAACTCGTCAGACGACTCTCCAGATCCGGCATCATCCTCACTGTGTTCCACTTCATCTTCTCCACACCCGGCAACCTCCCTCCCTTCAAACAAATCAATTAGCTCCGTTTCTCCCGCTTCCTCCCCTTCCACCTCTTCTTCCCCTTCTTCCTCCCCTTCTTGCGCTCCCTTCTGTTCCTCCATTTTCTCCCCTACTTCCCTCCCACAAAACTCGTCCCCTTTCGCGGTACCCGTGCTGAATCTCGAGGACCGCCCTTCCGTCCCCGTGCACGCTGCCCCTCTCAACGGCACGACAATCCCTGGCCGACAAACCCCACCCGAAGAAGTTCTGATCTAGGCGGACTTCGTGGTCTCCGTGTTGTCGGACCCTGCACTTGCAGCCTCCCGCTGCAATCCTTGCGGCCGTCGCTCCCGCTCAGGCG